GCCCAGGGAGGTGGTGGAGTCACCATCCCTGGCTGTGTTTAAGGGACATTTAGATGGGGTACTGAGGGACATGGTGTAGGGGAGGACTTTGTAGAGTAGGGTAGATGGTTGGACTCGATGATCCCAAGGGTCTCTTCCAACCTAGACGATTCTATGATTCTATGAAAATGTCCCGGGTGGTGATCACTTCAGCTCTGGGCTTGGAGAAGGGCTTTGCCTTTAGCCAGCGGAGTTTCCTACTACCCCAGAGTGGTTTTAACACATCAGTTTTTGCCTTCTGGCTGCCTTACCACGGCTGGCACTGAGCTACTGTGTTTTATTAGACAGGGCAGTTGGCACTAGAGACAGCTTTAAATCATGCTTTGAGCTCAGAGGTTAGAACAAAAGCCATCAGGCTCGTACGGCACCGTCTCTCTGAATTTCACTGAATTTCACTGAATTTTTAGAGTTGGAAGGGACCATAGAGATCATCTAGTCCAACTCCCCTGCTGAAGCAGGATTGCCTAGAGCTTGTCAGAGCATGTTACTCAGGAGCATCCGGGTGGGTCTTGAAAATCTCCAAGGAAGGGGACTCCACACCCTCCCTGGGCAGCCTGTTCCAGGGCTCCGTCACCCTCACCGTGAAGAAGTTTCTCCTCAGATTTGAGTGGGACCTCCTATGTTCCAACTTGTGCCCGTTGCCCCTCGTCCTCTCACTGGGAACCACTGAAAAGAGTCTGGCTCCCTCCTCCTTCAACCCACCCTTGAGATACTTGTCAGCATTGATAAGGTCTCCCCTCAGCCTTCTCTTCTCCAGGCTAAAGAGTCCCAGCTCTCAGTCTCTCCTCATAAGGGAGATGCTCCAATCCTTGAATCATCTTTGTTGCCCTTCGCTGGACTCTTTCTAGTAGTTCCCTGTCCCTCTTGAACCGGGGAGCCAGATAACTCTGGTTATTCTATTTGCCTTCTCTTTCTTTTAGGACTCCCCTAATGATGGCTTGCACCAGGCAAAACCTGGAGGTGATCAAAGCTCTCGTGGAGCATGGAGCCAACCCGCTGCTGAAAAACAAGGATGGCTGGAATTGCTTCCACATCGCCAGCCGGGAGGGCCATCCCCAGGTGCTTCGCTACCTCCTGGATGTGTCCCCAGGCAGCTGGGACACAGAGAGCACGATAAAGAGAACGCCTCTGCACACAGCAGGTAAAAGATGGGTTGGAAGAGAAGAGGGGAAACAGTTAAATCTGAAGTTATTGAAATTAAATGAAAAGAGGGTGGTGGTGGGCGCTAGCGGGTGCTCACCTCTCTGAACTTCGATCTGCTGACAGTGCTCTGCTGCATCTTGGCTGGATTTCCCATCAGGGCAGACACATTTGAGTTGATTGCAGATAAATAAACATCAAGAATTAGGCTTAATATTTCTTAATTATGTGCCAGAGGACACTGTAGAGAGGTTGGTGCTGGTCTCTTCTCACAGGTAATTAATGACAGAACAAGAGGGAACGGCTTCAAGCTCCAACAGGGTAGGTTTAGACTGAACATTAGGAAGGAATTTTTCACAGAAAGAGTGGTCAGGCATTGGAATAGGCTGCCCAGGGAGGTGGTGGAGTCTCTTCCAACCTAGACGATTCTATGATTCTATGAAAAGCACGCTCTGAGTACAGGCAAAATACAGGTAAATGGGCACTGAGGACTTTCCAACCTCATAAGCCTGGTCTTTGAATCATAGAATCATTCAGGTTGGAAGAAACCCTTGGGATCATCGAGTCCAACCATCTACCCTACTCTACAAAGTCCTCCCCTACACCATATCCCTCAGTACCCCATCTAAACGTCCCTTAAACACATCCAGGGATGGTGTTTTGTGGTGCGTAACAGTTACGTTCTCTTGGGGTTGGAGGATCCATCCCAGGAGCACCTCACAATCACCCACTGACTTTGGCCTCCTTGGACCAGGGTGTTGAATGTCTCCATCTCTGCCTCCCTGTGACAGATATGTCCAAGCTGTCACAAATCAGGACACGTTCCAATATGCTTTCCCTTGCTGGTCTATAAATCTGTGAATTGCACTTGGAAAATCTGCAAGGCTCCAAGCGTATCCTGGCATTTTAGAAGTTCTAGAAGCATCCAAGGTGCTGAGAGGCACCTTTTGGGATGCCCAAAGGCCCTGCGCAGGCCCCAACCTGCCTGTTGGTGGATGTTTTTACCAGTTGGGTGTAGAGTCTCGTATCTCTCAAAATGATCCTTTTTTGTGTGCGTGCTTGGTGGGTTGGGTCATTGCAGCAAATCTGAAGAGCCACGGGGTCTCTGGGCACAACGTGTGGAGGAAGCATCACAGGTTTTGTTATTCTCACCTTGCTCTTAAGAAGGTGGCATTGAGTGGTGAGAAATTGTCATGGAATTGTTGGAGTTGGAATGGACCTCTAGAGATCATCTAGCCCAACTCCTCTGCTAAAGTGAGATTGCCCAGAGCACATCACTCAGGAGCATCCAGGTGGGTCTTGAAGGTCTCCAGAGAAAGGGACTCCACTCCCTCCCTGGGCAGCCTGTGCCAGGGCTCTGCCACCCTCACCAGAAAGAAGTTCTTCCTCGGATTTGAGTGGAACTTCCCATGGTCCAGCTTGTGCCTGTTGCCCCTCGTCCTGTCACTGGGAACCACTGAAAAGAGTCCAGCTCCACCTGTCCCATCCCTGGAAGTGTTCAAGGCCAGGCTGGATGGGCCTTGAGCAACCTGCTCTAGTGGGAGGTGTCCCTGCCCATGGCAGGGGGGTTGGAATTCGATGATCTTTGAGGTCTCTTCCAACTCTAACCATTCTATGATTCCTTCGACCCACCCTTTAGATCCTTGTCAGCATTAATAAGGTCTCCCCTCAGCCTTCTCTTCTCCAGGCTAAAGAGCCCCAGATCTCTCAGCCTTTCCTCATCAGGGAGATGCTCCAATCCCCCCATCATCTCTGTTGCCCTACGCTGGACTCTCTCCAGCAGTTCCCTGTCTCTCTTGAACTGGGGAGCCCAGAACTGGACGCAGGATTCCAGTTGTGGCCTCACCAGTGCAGAGCAGAGGGGGAGAATGACCTCCCTTGAGCTGCTGGCCACACTCTTCCCTACACAACCTGGAATTCCATTGGCCCTCTTGGCCACAAGGGCACATTGCTGGCTCATGGAGAGTTTACTGTCCACCAGGACCCCCAGATCCTTCTCCTCAGAAGTGCTTTCCAGCAGGTCCACCCCTAACCTCTATTGGTGCCTGATGTTCTTCCTCCCCAGGTGCCTTTCTGCAAAAGGAAAGGATGGTCTCTGCTGGCAATACACAGGGGCTGTAGTTACTGTTGGTGCCTCATCACCCTTCTCTGCCCTTTTCATTGCTTTAAAAGGACATATAAAGGGAGTGAACTGGTTTGAGGAACCACAGACATCATCTGGAGCTACACCGCGGAGCAGAACAGTGACCCAGAGGCAATTTGGGTTTGGTTTCTGCCTTTCTGGCTCTTTTAATCCTTAAGATGAGGGGAGCGATTCTTTTTAATTTAGGAACAATACACAAGGTGTGCTTCAGCTAAGTCCTCTGAGCCTTAATAAGTTGAACAGCCCCCAAATATGTTAATGCACAATTAAGTTTGTCTTGTTGTGTCTCACTGCCCCTTATTTATATGTTTACCCACAGACCCGTGTAACCAGGCAGCACACACAAAGCACGTGTCTTCCCAGAGCTTAAATTCCCTTTAACTCTGCCCTCCAGAGGTGCCTTGGGAGAGGATGGTGAAGGGAAGGAGTGAGTGAATGTGTGGAGAGGTGTGTGACACCAAGTCAGGGTGACATTGTGGGGCTGGAGAGTGGTGGCTGAACTGAATCCTGATTGGCAAATTGGAGGGGTACGGATTTGATGGGTGGACTGTTCAGTGGATAAGGAACTGGCTGGATGGTCGCATCCAGAGGGTGGTACTCAATGGCTCAAAGTCCAGATGGAGAGCAGTCACAAGTGGTGTTCCTCAAGGGTCCGTGCTGGGGCCAATACTGTTTAACATTTTTATCAATGATATAGACAGGGAGATTAAAGGCACCGCGGCCTTTCAATACCTGAAGGGGGCCTACAGGAAGGCTGGGGAGAGCCTGTTTAGAAAGGCCTGCAGTGACAGGACGAGGGGCAATGGCTTCAAGCTGGAGGGGAACAGATTTAGACTGGAGATGAGGAGAGGGTTCTTCACTGGGAGGGTGGTGGAGCACTGGAACAGGTTGCCCAGGGAGGTGGTTGAGGCCCCTTCCCTGGAGAGATTCAAGGAGAGGCTCGACGAGGCCCTGGGCAACCTGGTCTAGTTGGGGGTGTCCCTGCTGACTGCGGGGAGGTCGGACTAGATGACCCTTGGAGGTCCCTTCTGGCCTGGACAACTCTATGATTCTATGATGATTCTATGAATCTGGAACGTGCCCCATCCCTGAGTGGGGTTTTCTGGGGCTCAGCAGTGTCTCCTCAGGAGAGATGAGCGTGGGGAGCCACTGCTCCAAACCTGCAGCTCCCTAAACTCATTTCCCAAAGAATTTAATAGGGATCGACTCTCCGGAAAGACCCGAGGCATGGCGAGGAGCCCCCTGCTGTGCTGTAATTAATCTGGTGGGTGTGTTGCTCCTTGGGCTGTCATTCCTGTTACTTCTCCAGGCCCTCGGTAGCCGCTTGTCCACCGCGCTGCGCTCATCAGCGGTGACAGTCCCAGCCCAGGGGCATTGGCTGCATCTTAGTCCTTGTGCTTGACCTGGGAATGAAGAAGAGCTGAGGAGCTGTTTGATGTTTCATGTAGGCAGCGAGGAGCAGGTTGCTTGAATGAGAAATGGCTTGTCCTCCTTTATTTATTTATTAACTAGATGACCCTTGGAGGTCCCTTCTGGCCTGGACAACTCTATGATTCTATGATGATTCTATGAATCTGGAACGTGCCCCATCCCTGAGTGGGGTTTTCTGGGGCTCAGCAGTGTCTCCTCAGGAGAGATGAGCGTGGGGAGCCACTGCTCCAAACCTGCAGCTCCCTAAACTCATTTCCCAAAGAATTTAATAGGGATCGACTCTCCGGAAAGACCCGAGGCATGGCGAGGAGCCCCCTGCTGTGCTGTAATTAATCTGGTGGGTGTGTTGCTCCTTGGGCTGTCATTCCTGTTACTTCTCCAGGCCCTCGGTAGCCGCTTGTCCACCGCGCTGCGCTCATCAGCGGTGACAGTCCCAGCCCAGGGGCATTGGCTGCATCTTAGTCCTTGTGCTTGACCTGGGAATGAAGAAGAGCTGAGGAGCTGTTTGATGTTTCATGTAGGCAGCGAGGAGCAGGTTGCCTGAATGAAAAATGGCTTGTCCTCATTTATTTGTGTGTTCTCCTGCCCTCTGCTCATTCCCAGGTCTTGTGTTTCCATGTCTGGGCTCACAGCTCCCCCCTCTCCAGCCCTCTCTCCATGGAGAGCTGGACGTGGTTGGACTCGATGATCTCAGAGGTCCCTTCCAACCACTAAGATTCTGTGATTCTGTGATTCTGTGATTTGTGTGTTCTCCTGCCCCCTGCTCATTCCCAGGTCTTGTGTTTCCGTGTCTGGGCTCACACCTCCCCCCTTCTCCAGCCCTTTCTCCATGGAGAGGTGGATGTTGGGTTGGGATCTGGGGGGTTGAGGTGCTGGGGACGGGGTCAGGAGCAGGGTGAGGACCGTGCTGAGGAAAAGAGGTGTTTTTGACCTTGAGCTTCCTTTCTTGAGCTTTTAGACCTTGAATTTCCTCCCTGCTTCATTGTGCTTGGTATATTGGGGTACAGACAGCGATGGTGGGATCCAACTCCTGGTCCTCACTACTTCACAGAGGTATCTCCCCCCTCTGTGTTGCCTCCTGTGTTTGACTTTCACTGCGGCAAAGCCACCAGCCCACGATTTGGGTTGATTTCTGGTTGTTTTACCCATCCAATTAGATCACACATGGGTGGAGGAGCAGCAGCTGGTGTGGGAGCGACCGGGCGGCGGGAAAGGCTGGAGCTGCTTAAACCACCTTTTCCCCCAGTATAATTTTAACCCAGGATGATACTGGAGGCTGCTGGTGGGTACTGGTGCCAGCATCCCCACGCACACCAGCACAAAGCCCACTCACACAGACATGGCTCCTGGGCCTGGAGATGACACTTGAGCTGCCGGGGGAAATCATGTCAAGAAGAACCGCTTGTCTCCATGAGTTTACATCCCAAGGGTGTGGATATGAGCACATTAACCCGTGACCAGTCCAGCTGGCTTCCTGGCACACTTATCCCTGGGTAGATGAGGGGTAATTTATTTTTTTTTTTCTTTTTTGGGTTGATTCCTCAAGCTTTGCTGCTTCATATATCCGTAGCCCGAGGCAAGAGAGAGCGGGGGAGATGTAATTAGAGGAAGTGGAATGCAACAGTGGATCCGAGCGCGGCGGGTTGCTTGTGTCTCTGGTGCTGTTAAAGGATGTAATTCTGGTGCTTGGGGTGGTTTTTCTTCACGTAGCTTGGATTTTTTTAAAGCCTCCCTTTTAAAAAATCCTTTTCGCCGTGTGTGGCTCTGCCTGAATTTACATCAGCTCAGGTGAAGGGGGGATAAAAGAGCAGGGAGAAGGAGAAAACAGCCAGGGTCTGGGAGGTTGGGAACCCCTTGTTGGGCTTTCAAAGAGCATCTATTGTGCAGCTGTGTCTGAAGGTTATTGCTGGTAACACACATTTGCCGGGGGCCCTTCTTCCAAATAGCCTGATGTAGCAGCTCTGGGATTGGTTTGATGTTGTTTTGTTGGGTTTTTTTTCTTTAATTTGTTTCATTTGTTTTGCAAAATGACCTGCAGGAGAAAAAAAAAAAAAAGCAAGATTAAAGCTGTCTGCACATTGCTGTGATACGATGTGTTTAAAAACAACAACAACAAAAAAAAGAGGGAATATTTCAGTGCGTGATGTTCAAATCCTCCCCCCACTGTTGTTGTTTCTCCTCTGAGATGCCGTCTGGGTGACGGTGCTTCATTAGGATGATGAGATGGGAGTGGATGGGTAGTTGGAGTGGCTGAGGAGGGGTGGAAATGCCGGTCCAGCTATTCACCAGCTCCCTGCTTTGTGTTGGTTTTGCTTCTCACAGATTTCACTTCGGGGATTAACAAATACTTGCAAGAAAAGATCTTTGTGTCGGCTTAATTGCGTGTACGGTCTCATGCTCGCACTCTGCAGTTAGAAGCAAACAGTGCCTGTATACGTGCTTTTTCCCTGGGTTATCTGCTGTTTTCCTATGGGATCAGGGGAAGGGAGGGCTTGAGATCCGGAGACAAGTGTTTTAATTGAAAAAATAATAAATCAAAAGCTTTGAATCTAAAGCTTCTTGCCCACCCCCTTCCCCCATCATGAGCAAGCCAAAAAGGTCAGAAACCTGATTATGTTTCACAGTGGCATGAAAACATAAATTAACCCTGCGCTTCTCTCTCCCTTTCTCTCTCTCCCTCCCACAGCAATGCACGGCTGTTTTGACGTTGTGGAGCTGCTCCTGGAGAGGTAAGAAAGCTTCCTCCTGGCACTGCCTCTGCCTCCTCACTCTCCCCCACCTCCCCAACTCCACCGAGGGGACACAAAGGGTGTTCAGGGTGTTGAGGAAGCCCAGCTGCCCTGCATGCCCTCCCGACATGGTTTTTCATCTTTCCTCCAGGTTTTTCACAGCAGGTTAAGGGCCCTTTGAGACAAGGACGGGGCTGCGATGGGCTCTGACTTCACTATGACATCAGCCCCGTTTATATAACTCTGGCTCTTCTCTGCTGATTCATTCCCCTTGCCTCTGATGTATCCGAGCCCGTACGATAATAACAAAACAAGTTTTCTGACAGCTCGGGTCTGGCTGCAGCCCTTCCAGGCTGGACTCAGCTTCCAGGCTTTATTTTTCAAGGCTGTAGCTCCACGGGAGGCTGGTTTGAAGTGGCTTTAAATCAGCCTCTGCCCAGTCATCCTGACCCTGTTACCTTCCAAACCAGCACTGCCTGCTGCCAGAGCTGGAGCAGCTTTCCCCAGGCATCGTGGCCGCTGATAGCCACGGCCCCCGTTAGCCAATTTGTCCCAGCCTCGTTAATTCCTGTCCGTGCTTGGCCCGGCATAAACGTAACCCTGTGATTCGAGCCAGGCTTTCAATTTTAATTCAGTCTTCTCTCCTTTCAACGGAGCTTTGACCCGAGCGAGACCCTGTGGGCTTTGATTTTGTACGTGGTGTTGTTACAGAATCACAGAATCACAGAATCTTCTAGGTTGGAAGGGACCTTAAAGATCATCTTGTCCAACCGTCAACCTGACTGACAAAAATAGACACCCACACAACAAACAAGGAGCATCATCACTAAACCAGACCTCCCAGCACTACATCAACCCGTCTTTTGAACACCTCCAGGGATGGTGCCTCAACCCCCTCCCTGGGCAGCCCATCCCAATGGCTGAGAACCCTTTCAGTGAAAAAATTTTTCCTAATATCCAGCCTGAACCTCCCCTGGTGTAACTTGAGGCCATTTCCTCTTGTCCTGTTGCCTGTGACTTGAGAAAAGAGACCGACCCCCACCTCTCTACACCCTCCTTTCAGGGAGTTGTAGAGATCAATAAGGTCTCCCCTCAGCCTCCTCTTCTCCAGGCTGAATAACCCCAGCTCCCTCAGCCTCTCCTCATAAGACTTATTCTCCAGACCCCTCCCCATCTTTGTCGCCCTTCTCTGGACCCGCTCCAGCACCTCAATGTCTTTTTTATGGTAGGGGGCCCAAAGATGGTGAAGATATGGTTTTCCCCTCTGTCAGTGCAAGGCTTGTGCACTCCTTCCCTCTTCCAGACATCCTCTGTTCGGAGGGAAAGGGAAATAAATATAAATGATAGATGAAGCCTTGGCTTTCGTGCAGCCATACAAGCTGCACCAGCTGAGTACCAGATTTCTGACCCAAAAAAACCCCAGCAGCCCATACTTGAGGGCATAAAGCACTGCGACAGGTTTATGCACGGTCTATGGACAGGATTTATACGTGCCCTTTCCCATCCCATCTGCTGATAGTCTCCTGTCCCATCAATGCAAAGCAACTGGTGCAGATTTTAGAGCTGCTGGCAACTCTCCTGGCTTTTGTCTTCCCTCCCAGGTGCCGGTACGAACCTGACAGCAGAGACAAATGTGGAGTTACTCCCTTTATGGATGCCATCCAGAATGGGCACGTCAACATCGCCAGCCTGCTCCTGCAAAAACATCAGGTAGGTGCCAAAAATCTCACCTCCATCCTCCAGAACCTGACCTAGAACCACCAGGACAAACGACCCACACCTTCACCGCAACCAAATTGTGAAGAAACTCATTCCCAAATTTTAAAGGAGCAAACTGCAAAAGAAGGCAGATGAGCAAGGTTTTAAAGGAGCAAACTGCAAAAGAAGGCAGATTCCCCTTGGAGATGAGCAAGGTCTTGCTGGGTAGGGCCACCAGGACTCAGCTCATGGGGCTTGCTGGGTAGGGCCACCAGGACTCAGCTCCCAGGGAAGATGCTGCCCAGAGAAGCTGTGGCTGCCCCATCCCTGGAGGGGTTCAAGGCCAGGCTGGATGGGGCTTGGAGCAACCTGGTCTGGTGGGAGGTGTCCCTGCCCAGGGCAGGAGGTTGGAACTGGATGATCTTTAAGGTCCCTTCCAACCCAAACCATTCTATGATTCTAACACACACAAAGCCAAGACCCACGCTCGGGTGTGCCGGGGCTCAACATGGATAACAGGGAGGGCATCTGGCTGCTCCTGCAGGAGCTCATCTCTGGCCTCCCCCTCTTGGGGCAGCTGCTGCTCCTGTGTTGTCTCCCAGTAATCTCCAATTTCCTCCAACATAGAAGGCGTAACCGGGCTGTCATTAGAGCCAATTGTGCGTAGGAAGAACCAGACCACTGCATTATTTATTGACTGCTCAGTTGATGTGAGATGGTTTCAGCCCACCTAACGGCTGATTCTCACGGAGGTGGGGTTGTGCTTCCCTTCTCACCTCCTTTGCCCTCACTTGGCCTCTCCCCTGCACCAGCTATGGTGTTCCTTAGACACTGTGCCAAACTGGTGCAGCTCACTGGCCTGGCAGAGAGCTGGCATGGCAAAACCAGGGAATCCGTGCCACGCTGGCAGGTTGAATTGGCCAGCTGAGCCCCCAGCTGGCACGGAGTGGGCCACGGAAGGTGGTACCACACTTTTTAAGATCACAAGTTTTGGATTTTACCACACTTTTTAAGATCACAAGTTTTGGACTTAACTCATCTGTAACACCCAGCAGAGGTGGTTTGATGCCCAGGTTGTGTTTGAGTACGTAGATAGTTGTTGACTTCAGGAGACGTTCATGTGCTTGTCTTCACTCATCTGGCCCTTTCAGGGTAAAACATTTGTGAAGTTCAGTTAGGTTTTTAGTCCCACGTTTCAGGCAACGGAGATGGAATAGCTGATTTAATTTCCTCCTTGTGGTGCCCTGGCTTACTGCCATGAAGCAGCGCTGGAAACGCTAATGGCAGCGTTGCTACCTTCTAGGTTTTCTAAAACCATGAGTCAGGCCCACTAGACTTCAAGAGGCTGGATTAGAGCCTTTAAGATGAAGGCGACGTGTGTTGCTTCCGTTACTTTTCTTGATTTTACTTCTTTGCTGTTCACGTTCAGAGACTCAAGGGAGAGATCTCATGAGGTCATCCACCCATCTCCCTCCCTCTACCTGCACCAAGGTTGGAGATGGGTTGTTTCTCGCTACTTGAAGGAGTTGCAACCCATCATATATGCTTCAGCTGAAGAGAGTGCCCGGAGGGCTGTGCTGCCATCCAGCGAGACTTGGACAGGCTGGAGGGCTGGGCAAGGAAGAACCTCATGAGGTTCAACAGGGAAAAGTGTAGGGTCCTGCACCTGGGGAAGAAAAATGTCAGGTACCAGTACAGGTTAGGGGTGGACCTGCTAGAGGCAACTACTGAAGAGAAAGATCTAGGGGTCCTGGTGGACAGTAAAATGACAATGAGTAAACAGTGTGCTCTTGCGGCCAGGAAGGCCAATGGTATCTTGGGTTGCATAGGGAAGAGTGTGGCCAGCAGGTCAAGGGAGGTCATTCTCCCCCTCTACTCTGCACTGGTGAGGCCACAACTGGAATCCTGCGTCCAGTTCTGGGCTCCCCAGTTCAAGAGAGACAGGGAACTGGTGGAGAGAGTCCAGCGTAGGGCTACAAAGATGATTCAAGGATTGGAGCATCTCCCTTATGAGGAGAGACTGAGAGAGCTGGGACTCTTTAGTCTGGAGAAGAGAAGGCTGAGGGGAGACCTTATCAACGCCTACAAGTATCTCAAGGGAGGGTTGAAGGAGGAGGGAGCCAGACTCTTTTCAGTGGTTCCCAGTGAGAGGACGAGGGGCAACGGGCACAAGTTGGAACATAAGAGGTTCCACTCAAATATGAGGAGAAACTTCTTCACGGTGAGGGTGACAGAGCCCTGGAACAGGCTGCCCAGGGAGGGTGTGGAGTCCCCTTCCTTGGAGATTTTCAAGACCCGCCTGGATGCTCCTGAGTAACATGCTCTGACAAGCTCTAGGCAATCCTGCTTCAGCAGGGGAGTTGGACTAGATGATCTCTATGGTCCCTTCCAACTCTAAAATTCAGAGAGGGAGCTTGGTTCTTCTTCTTTGTCACTTCTTTTGCTTATCACATAAAAAGCTCAACAAAAAGCTGACACTGGTCTGCAAATCATGGTGTTACCAACTGGAGCTGTCCTGCTGGTGACATCCCACGTGTTCGTTGCCGTCGTCATGGCAGGCAGACATGATTCTGCTGGGGCTGGTGGTCGTCCTTGAAGGTTTGGCCAGGCTTTTCATTGCTTTCCCTTTCCCTCCTCCCCCATTGCAGGCATGTCCTTCAGCCAAGGATGCACTGGGTGCTCAACCTCTGCACCGGGCAGCCGTCACGGCCCAGGATGAAGCCATCCGGTTCCTCGTCTCCGAGCTGGGTGTTGATGTCAACGAGAGAGCAACAGCCCTGCAGCTCACAGCGCTGCACTACGCAGCCAAGGTTGGTCCCTGTTCCCAACCTCCCTCTACAAAGTCTTTGCTAGTGTCTGTGCTACAGGCAGGCATCTAAAACAGCCTGGCCCCAAGTTAGGTGGGAAGTGTTGATCTTGAGGGCAGGAAGGCTCTACAGAGGGATCTGGAAGGCTGGATCGCTGGACCCAGGCCTACAGTCTGAGGTTCACCAAGGCCAAGTGCCAGCTCCTGCACTTGGGTCACAACAACCCCGTGAACACTACAGGCTTGGGGAAAAGTGGCTGGAGCTGCCTGGTGGAAAAGGCCCTGGGGGTGTTGGTCAGCTGTCGGCTGAACACGAGCCAGAAGTGTGCCCAGATGGCCAAGAAGGCCACCAGCATCCTGACCTGTGTCAGGAACAGCGTGGTGAGCAGGACTCGGGAGGTGATTGTCCCCCTGTAATTGGCAGTGGTGAGGCCCCACCTCGACTGTGGTGTCCAGTTTTGGGCCCCTCACCACAAAAAAAAGACATTGAGGTGCTGGAGTGTGTCCAGAGAAGGTCAACGGAGCTGGTGAGGGGTCTGGAGCACAAGTCTTGTGAGGAGCAGCTGAGGGAGCTGGGGGTGTTCAGCCTGGAGAAAAGGAGGCCGAGGGGAGACCTCCTTGCTCTCTCCAATTCCCTGAAAGGAGGGTGTAGTGAGGAGGCAATTGGTCTCTTCTCCCAAGGAACAGGTGATGGGACAAGAGGAAATGGCCTCAAGTTGCTCCAAGGGAGGTTTAAATTAGATATTAGGAAAAATGTCTTCACTGAAAGGGTTATCAAGCCTTGGAAGAGGCTGCCCAGGAAATGGTGGAGTCACCATCCCTGGAGGGATTTAAAAGCCGGGCAGACGTGGTGCTGAGGGACATGGTTTAGTGGTGGGTCTTGTCAGTGTTAGGTTGATGGTTGGACTCGATGATCTGAAAGGTCCCTTCCAACCTGGACAATTGTATGGTTCTATGATGGAGAATTTACAGTCCTACCTCATCCTCTGTCACTCTCGATCTGCTCCTGACCAGTCCCATACCCTGTTTAATGGGTTTTAGACCCTCGTTAGGTGTGCCCAGCTGTCTGCTGGGTCGGTGGTGGGTATGAGTTGCCATGTTCACCACCCTCCTGTCCACACTGCTGACTGTGCTGGGGGTTAGTGAACCCTCCTGCCTGGCAAGTGGCTGAGTGGGACCGTGCAGGAGCAGAGGTGAGTGACAACAGGACACAGCTCCTTTGCCATGCATCCAGTTGTCCATGCTCTGGTTAGGGCTTGACCCACACCTCTGATGAGTGTTATTCTTCCAGTCCTTGGAGACCAAAGGGCAATACCTGAAGGGAGTCCACCCTGCTAGTTATTTGGAGCTGTTGGTACCAACAGTTCATGAGCTGTGACAGTTCTTCACCAGTGTCTTCTCACTCAACTGGCAGAAGAGATGTGGATGAAATGCTGCTCAGATTTCTGTCTGTCTGTCTTCAGCCCTGGTGGTTGGGGTCCCAGGGGGTCAGTAGCCAGTTTCTGTGTCAACAGAGGATGGCCGTTGGGCCCGAGAGGTGATTGTCCCCCTGTACTGGGCACTGGTGAGGCCTCACCTTGAGTACTGTGTCCAGTTTTGGGCCCCCTACCATAAAAAAGACATTGAGGTGCTGGAGCGTGTCCAGAGAAGGGCGACAAAGATGGTGAGGGGTCTGGAGAATAAGTCTTATGAGGAGAGGCTGAGGGAACTGGGGTTGTTCAGCCTGGAGAAGAGGAGGCTGAGGGGAGACCTTATTGCTCTCTACAACTCCCTGAAAGGAGGGTGTAGGGAGGTGGGGGTCGGTCTCTTCTCCCAAGTCACAGGTGACAGGACGAGAGGAAATGGCCTCAAGTTACACCAGGAGAGCTTCAGGCTGGATATTAGGAAAATTTTTTTCCCTGAAAGGGTTCTCAGGCATTGGAATGGGCTGCCCAGGGAGGTGGTTGAGGCACCCTCCCTGGAGGTGTTCAAAAGACGGGTTGATGTAGTGCTGGGAGGTATGGTTTAGTGATGATGCTCCTTGTTTGTTGTGTGGGTGTCTCTTTTTGTCAGTTAGGTTGACGGTTGGACAAGATGATCTTTAAGGTCCCTTCCAACCTAGAAGATTCTGTGAAACAGCAACTGTTTGTCCCAGGAGGTTGGATTCTGGCCTGCCCATTGCCAGATGTGAGAGAGGAGAGGTGGAAAAGCGGAGGGAGCTCCCGGATGCTTATCTGTGTCCTTCACACGGGAGCTGTTTTGAATTCCAAGCAGTGAGAGTCGTCTGAACTTTCTCCTCCTCCCACCTCACGCCTGTGGGGGAAGCGGGGCTTGGTGGGCTGTGGGTCCTGTGAATCTCCCTGGGAACGCAGAGCAGATCCCAAAAGTGTCACCGCTGGCCAGGATCCCTCCTGGGACCCTGCTGCCTCCCTTCTGCTTGGTGCTGTCCCACCACGGTGTGCAATGTGCTGGCAGCCAGCAGGAAGGGAAGGTTCCTGCTCAGATCCCTGCGTGGTAATAGAATCATAGAATTGCCCAGGCCGTAAGGGACCTCCAAAGATCATCTAGTCCGACCCCCCCACAGTCAGCAGGGACACCCCCAACTAGACCAGGTTGCCCAGGGCCTCGTCGAGCCTCTCCTTGAATATCTCCAGGGATGGGGCCTCAACCACCTCCCTGGGCAACCTGTTCCAGTGCTCCACCACCCTCACAGTGAAGAACCCTCTCCTCATCTCCAATCTAAATCTGTTCCCCTCCAGCTTGAAGCCATTGTCCCTCGTCCTGTCACTGCAGGCCTTTCTAAACAGGTTCTCCCCAGCCTTCCTGTAGGCCCCCTCAGGTACTGGAAGGCTGCTATTAGGTCTCCCCGGAGCCTCCTCTTCTCCAGGCTGAACAACCCCAGCTCCCTCAGCCTGTCCTCGTAGCAGAGGTGCTCCATCCCCCTGATCATCCTTGTGGCCCTCCTCTGGACCCTCTCCATCAGGTCCATGTCCTTCTTATATTGAGGGCTCCAGACCTGCACACAATACTCCAGGTGAGGTCTCACCAGAGCAGAGGAAAGTGGCAGAATCCCCTCTCTGGACCTGCTGGCAACGCATCGTCTGATGCAGCCCAGTATGAGATTGGCCTTCTGGGCTGCAGCTGCCCACTGCCTGCTCATGTCCAGCTTCTCCTCCACCAGCACCCCCAAGTCCCTTTCCTCAGGGCTGCATGAGCTTTAACATGCAGCACTCAGAGCCTGGTCTAGACTTGTAGAGGGAACGAAGCGGCGTCCCAGCGCCCCGCTCCTAGAAAAGCATCAATGACACTTACTGGGAGTGCTGGCAACAGTATTCTCCTCCAGCAGGACCCAGCCGTGGCATTTGCTGGCTCCCACAAAGGAGGCCTTTCTCCCAGCTCCCCTTCCTCATGCTCTGAGAAACCACGTTGAAAGCCCTTTCGGTTGCCAAGGGTACGTTTAACAGCAAAGCTATTGGGGAATATAATGTGCCTTGGAGAAGATCCCAGCTCTGTCTTGGCTGATTGGGGAGCGATTTGATGGGTCTCTCTTCCTTCCCGAGGCTCAGTGTCACTTGATATTTACAGCATCATTTGTTTGGCTGGTGGGTTGTTTTTTGGTTTTGGTTGTTTCGTTGTTTTGTTGTTGTTTTTTTTTCTTCTTTTCTTATTACTTTGCATTTATAAATACATGGAAATCAAATTACGCTTTCAACCCACTTTGCTGCCAAGGCTGTGGCAGCTCAAGCGGTTCCTGGCGCGCTGTCTCTGCTGCTGAGAAGGGGGTGTGGATGCAGAAGGGAAATGGGAGCCATGAACTGGGGGGCAAGGTGCTACTGAGTGGGGAAAAAAGTGGGTGGTGGGGATAAAAATAAGGGCCCTTCATCCTCGTGCCACACGACGAAGCCTAATCTGTTGCCTTGAAGAGGTGATTACAAAATCATGTCTGCATCTTCTGAATGAAGTTCTGCGTCTTCTCGCAGGGCATGACAAATACCTGAGTAATCCTTTAGGAAATGCTGGTGCCTGAGGGTACCCCAAGCTCAACAGCCCGCATCAGCAACAGGTTGTGCTCCTCTGAGCTGAAATACAGCTGGGTGAGAGCAGCTCAAAATCCCTGTGGTGCTGGAAGTGAACTTACAGGGTAGGAAGACACGGGGCTTTTTGCTGACATACAATTATGAAAGGTAAGGTAGGGATCCTACAGCTCTGTGGCCAGCTGAAGTTAAAAGCAATTTAATTGAGTTACTTGATTGGAGGTGAGGACTGGAGAGGCAAAGGCAAGATGGGTTGACAAATTAGTGCACTGATTTGCTATTAAGAAGTGTCTTTAGGTTGTGTCACCCCGTTGTCAGAGGTCGTTTGGGTCTTAACTTCTCTGCAGCCGCTGGCAAAGGGGAGGAGACTTTGTGCTGGGAGACAATCCTCCAAATTCCTCACACCTCGAGGTCTCTGCTGTGCAAGGTGGATGTGTTGACCACAATTGGGAAGATCATGTAGAAATGACTGTTCTCTAAAAGAAGAGAAGGCTCTGGGAAGATCTTATAGCAGACTTCTAGCTTCATCTCCTCCATCAGGCTGATGTTGGACCTATTGGAGCTGGGCCAGAGGAGGCCACGGAGATGCTGGGAGGCCTGGAGCCCCTCTGCTGGGAGGGGGGGCTGAGAGAGTGGTTCAGCCTGGCACTCGGAGGGGGGGAAAAGGGGCTGGCGTCCCCTTTGCGTGCCAAAATAAGCTCTGGTGAGGACAAATCGGAGCTGAAGAAGATGGATTTGAGGACATGGACCTGTTGGAGCGGGGCCAGAAGAGGCAATGGAGATGCTGGGAGGGCTGGAGCCCCTCTGCTGGGAGGACGGGCTGAGAGAGTTGGGGGGGTTCAGCCTGGAGAAGAGAAGGTTCTGGGGAGACCTTGGAGCCCCTTCCAGTCCATCAAGGGGCTCCAGGAGAGATGGGGAGGGACTCTGGATGAGGGAGGGGAGCCCTAGGAGGAGGGGGAAGGGTTTGACACTGAAAGAGGGGAGATTTAGATAAGATACTAGGAAGAAATGTTTCTCACTGAGGGTGGTGAGAGCCTGGCCCAGGTTGGCCAGAGAAGCTGTGGCTGCTCCATCCCTGGAGGGGTTCAAGGCCAGGTTGGAGGGGGCTTTGAGCAACCTGGGCTGGTGGGAGGTGTCCCTGCCCAGGGCAGGGGGGTTGGAACTGGATGATCTTTAAGGTCCCTTCTCAACCCCAACCATTCTATGATTCTAAAAGCAGATCCATCAGCCTGGATCTGGACTGGGTTGTGTGTCTATCTCACTTGCCCCACCGAGGCACCGCTCTCAGCCTTTGGCTGTACCACCCCCCCACCCAGAGACAGCTCGGTGCTTCAGTGTAATTTTTAGACACTCTTGGTCTTAATTGAACACTTCTGATTTTTAAAACATTGTGTTGAATGTTTGCAGAGAGAATCCTGCTCCTGGGATGCCTCTCGCTGCCTTTTTGGCCTCTGGGTTGAAATTGGTGCCAGGGCCATGCGAGGCATGCAGACACGCTGGCCGTGTGCGTGAGGAGACACGTTGACCAAGGGCCAAGCTCCGGCTCCTCTCTCATGGGCTGCCAGCAGGAGGGCCAGAGAAGGTGCCCGATGACATCTCTCTGGCCAATTGGCATGGGCTAAGGGCAGCACGTCTGCTGTGCCTGGGCAACCCCTGGCTAACAGACCCCATCTGCATGTCCATAGGCAGCCAACCTTGATTTCCAGCCACTGGAAGGTCCTCAGGAACCTGTTCCCATGGGCTAAGGGCAGCACGTCTGCTGTGCCTGGGCAACCCCTGGCTAACAGACCCCATCTGCATGTCCATAGGCAGCCAACCTTGATTTCCAGCCACTGGAAGGTCCTCAGGAACCTGAAGCAGCTTCTGGTAGCCCCAGATTTGACCGTGGTAGAGTCAACCTGTGTCTGTGGCCTTCCAGGTGCCACTGAAGCAGCTTCTGGTAGCCCCAGATTTGACATGGCAGAGTCAACCTGTGTCAGTGGCCTTCCAGGTGCCACAAAACTATGTTCAGTTTTGGGCCCCTCACAACAGGAAAGACATTGAGGTGCTGGAGCAGGTCCAGAGAAGGGCAATGGAGCTGGTGAGGGGTCTGGAGAACAAGGAGAAGGGTCTGAAGAACTTCTGAGGGAGCTGGGAGTGTTCAGCCTGGAGAAGAGGAGGCTGAGGGAAGACCTCCTCCTCTCTACAACTTCCTGAAAGGAGGGTGTAGCCAGGGGGGGTTCTCTCCTGCCAAGGAACAGGCACTAGGGCAAGAGGAAATGGCCTCAAGTTGCACCAGGAGAAGTTTAGATTGAACATTAGGGAAAAAAAACAACTTCCTGAAAGGAGGGTGTAGCCGGGGGAGTTGGTCTTTTCCCCCAAGGAACAGGCCATGAGACAAAAGGAAACAGCCTCAAGTGACACCAGGGGAGGTTCAGATTGGATATTAGAAAAAATTTCTTCTTGAAGTGGTGGAGTCACCATCCCTGGAGGGATTTAAAAGCTGGGCAGACGTGGTGCTGAGGGACAGGGTTTAGTGATGGGTTTGTCAGTGTTGGGTTGATGGTTGGACTCTTGATCTGAAAGGTCCCTTCCAACCTGAACAATTTTGTGATTATATGATTCTATATGCAGTTGGGGACAGATCGCTTCCAGCCTCCTTTCTCCTTCCTTTCTCCTGCGTTATTTCTGCTCAATGCAAAGGTGAGGAATTGCTTGGAGCTACTTCTGGGTCCCACCTGCCTGTGCTTGCCCCTGCAGGAAGGACACGGGTGCACCATCCAGACGCTGCTGTCCCTCGGCGCCGACATCCACGCGAAGGATGGGAAGAACCGTTCTGGTAAGGCCTGTTGAGCTCTTTCTCAGGAACAGTGTGGGTAGTAGGGCCCGAGAGGTGATTGTCCCCCTGTACTCGGCACTGGTGAGGCCTCACCTCGAGTACTATGTCCAGTTTTGGGCCCCCTACCATAAAAAAGACATTGAGGTGCTGGAGCGGGTCCAGAGAAGGGCGACAAAGATGGTGAGGGGTCTGGAGCACAAGTCTTATGAGGAGAGGCTGAAGGAACTGGGGTTATTCAGCCTGAAGACGAGGAGGCTGAGGGGAGATCTTATTGCCCTCTACAACTCCCTGAAAGGAGGGTGTAGAGAGGTGGGGGTCGGTCTCTTTTCTCAAGTCACAGGCGACAGGACAAGAGGAAATGGCCTCAAGTTGCGCCAGGGGAGGTTCAGGCTGGATATTAGGAAAAATTTTTTCACTGAAAGGGTTCTCAGGCATTGGAATGGGCTGCCCAGGGAGGTGGTTGAGGCCCCATCCCTGGAGGTGTTCAAAAGACGGGTTGATGTAGTGCTGGGAGGTATGGTTTAGTGATGATGCTCCTTGTTTGTTGTGTGGGTGTCTATTTTTGTCAGTTAGGTTGACGGTTGGACAAGATGATCTTTAAGGTCCCTTCCAACCTAGAAGATTCTGTGATTCTGTGATTCTTCACCCTCCATCTGACAGCAAGAGCATCCTTTGGTCACAGCAGCCCAACCTCCCAAGCAGCCCGCGCTGCGTCTGCTCAGCGGAGCGTGGCAGAGGGGCTGCCAGATGCACGTATAGAAACAGCTCTTAGAGCAGAGCGATGTGTTAGGGGTGGATTTTGGGGGGTTTTGGGTTTTTTTTTGCAGCTTTCATTCACTGGCTCTCCTCCTGCCGGACTTTCTGATGTCTAATGGCATGGTTGAGGGCTTTTCTCCCCAGGGGGAAGAGCAGAGATGCTAATTGGTGTTTCTTTTTTCACCCGGCTGCTTGTTTTGCATGCAACTTTCAGGAGCTTAGTATCTTTGATACCTCTGCCTTGCCATCAAATTTGTTTGAAATTAGCCAGTTTCAAATGTTTAGGGTGGGCAGACAAATACAATGATCTCACAAGCTCTTAAGCCTCGCCCAGGGGGAAGAGCAGAGATGCTAATTGGTGTTTCTTTTTTCACCCGGCTGCTTGTTTTGCATGCAACTTTCAGGAGCTTAGTATCTTTGATACCTCTGCCTTGCCATCAAATTTGTTTGAAATTAGCCGGTTCGAAACGTTTAGGGTGGGCAGACAAATACAATGATTGCCCAAGCTCTCTTAAGCCTCAATTCTTTAGCAAAGTGCCTAAGAATGGCTTATAAGCAAATAACAGAGAGCTCGAACGTAAATATAGTTGCTATAGTGATGCCAGTGAGTTGGCATTCCCAGCGTGAGGCGTCTCTTGCATCAGCGTCTCTCTCACACACACACACACAAAACCAGTATATATAAATGATTTCAGCCACTGCCAAAATTGGCAACTTCCCCAGCCTTCAGGTTTGCTTAATAACACGCTTCAGCGGTGAGCGTGAACAGCCTGGTGTCTCTCTCTGTCTCTCCCTCCCACCCCCTCGGTGAGTAAATTCGGGCTCGTCGGACCCTGGGGTGTTTGTGGTGGCTCCTCGTGCCTGTCGGTTGCCCCCCTTCCCTGGCACGTTTTGCTGTGTTAGTGTTGGTGCCTCCTGGGGCCCTTCTCACCAGAAGAATCCTGCTTCTACACCCAGGGTAGTTTCAAGCCCCCTCTCTTGCACATCACAGAATCACAGAATCTAAGAGACCGACCCCCACCTCTCTACACCCTCCTTTCAGGGAGTTGTAGAGAGCAAGAAGGTCTCCCCTCAGCCTCCTCTTCTCCAGGCTGAATAACCCCAGTTCCCTCAGCCTCTCCTCATAAGACTTATTCTCCAGACCCCTCACCATCTTTGTTGCCCTTCTCTGGACCCGCTCCAGCATCACGATTAAATCCACCCCAAACTCAGAGCAGTAAGAAGCCTTGGAGGATTTTTGCTCTGCCTGCTCTGTCCCACAGCTTCCCCGCTCCTGCCCTGGGCACCTTCTGCCCATGACTCGGCCAGAATGAACCAAAGTTGGCTTAAATACTCCCAATTTGTGTGCAAACCTGGTTAGCTTTGGTTAGTAGCGCTTGATGGATTGGAGGGACTAGTAATCTGCCAGGGCAGCAGCTGAGCCCTCCTGGGCCATCACACGACTGCCTGGAATCAGAGAATCATGGAATTGTCCAGGTTGGAAGGCACCTTTCAGATCATAGAGTCCAACCATCAACACAACACTGACAAAACCCATCACTAACCCATGTCTCTCAGCACCACATCTGCCTGGCTTTTAAATCCCTCCAGGGATGGTGACTCCACCACCTCCATGGGCAGCCTCTTCCAAGGCTTGATAACCCTTTCAATATAAAAATTTTTCCTAATATCCATCCTAAACCTCCCCTGGTGCAAGTTGAGGCCGTTCTCTCAGCCTGGAGAAGAGAAGGCTCCGGGGAGACCTTATAGCGGCCTTTCAATACCTGAAGGGTGCCTATAGAAGAGCTGGGGAGGGACTCTTTGTCAGGAAGGGTAATGATAGGACAAGGGGAAACGGTTTAAATTGGAAGAAAAAAGATTCAGATCAGATCTCAGGAAGAAATTTTTTACTCTGAGGGTGGTGAGACACTGGAACAGGTTGCCCAGGGAAGTTGTGGCTGCTCCATCCCTGGAGGTGTTCAAGGCCAGGCTGGATGTGGCCTTGAGCAACCTGCTCGAGTGGGAGGTGGGTTGGAACTTGATGATCTTTGAGGTCCCTTCCAACCCAAACCATTCTATGATTCTATGATTTCCTCTTGTCCCATCACCTATTCCTTGGGAGAAGAGACCAACCCCCCCTGGCTACCCCCTCCTTTCAGGGAGTTGGAGAGAGTGAGAAGGTCTCCCCTCAGCCTCCTTTTCTCCAGGCTGAACACCCCCACCTCCCTCAGAAGTTCTCCAGACCCTTCTCCTTGTTCTCCAGACCCCGCCCCAGCTCCGTTCATAGAATCATAGAATCATTGAGGTTGGAAGAGACCCTTGGGATCATCGAGTCCAACCATCTACCCTATTCTACAAAGTCCTCCCCTACACCATGTCCCTCAGCACTGCATCTAAACGTCCCTTAAACACATCCAGGGATGGTGACTCAACCCCCTCCCTGGGCAGCCTGTTCCAATGCCCGACCACTCTTTCAGTGAAAAATTCCTTCCTAATGTTCAATCTAAACCTACCCTGTTGGGTAGGTTTAGGGTAGGGCAACCTACCCATTGCCCTTCTCTGGACCCACTCCAGCCCCTCAATGTCTTTCCTGTTGTGAGAGGCCCAAAACTGGACACATCATCTGAAGTGGACTGAGGCTGAAACCATCAAGCCATCTCAGCTCCTTTCTCCATATCATGTCCATATCTCCATATCTCCATATCATGTCTCCCCCACAGCCCTGCACGCAGCCTGCGCTGGGCAGCGGGCGGACGCCGTACGGATCCTGCTCCGCTCCGGACTGAGGGACACCCCGGATGGCACGGGCACGCTGGCACAGCAGCTCGCTCGGAAGCCAGATGTCATCCAGGTTTTCCAGGAAACTCGTGTCGGCACGTGAGATGGAATGGGAAAGAGAGAAACCACTTTCATTTCAGCGTGGTACGTTCGTTATCGCTTCACAACTCTTCAGATTTGGGCAAACGTGTTAAAAATGATGGGGTTTTTGCCCAAAGATTTTTGAAGCTTGAAACTCGGGAAGTATATTTAGGAGAAAACATATTTTAAATAAGATTATGTCAAAAAGATAATGGACATGAAAAGCATTGTTTTAAATAGGATTACCTCAAAAAGATAGTGGATATGATGGATCTGGGTTGTCACACTCCTGTACTGATCCCATCGTTGTAAATTCATGACTGCTCTTCTTTTGCTTCCAAATTTCAGGGCTGAACTTTGCCTCTTCTTGTGTAGTGCTCAAAACATCTGAACAGCTGAGGCCACAGCTCCCTGAAGTCTAACCATCCAAGGAAGGTGTCCCATGGACCTTCTAGATGACCTCTGGCGACCTACAGGGCTTGAACTGACTGGAGCCTGCCTGGTTCTTGATGGGATTGTCTCCATCCAGTGGCATCCTGAAGGAGAAGATACACCTGGATGGTTGATGTTTATAGCCCTTGATAGACCCGCTCTCCATGAATCTCTTAAGTTGCTTTAGGTGGCCACCCCTTTTGGTAGCCCCTGAAAGATGCCAAGTGTGGTGCAGCGTGAGTGAGCCCTTGGTGACTCTTCCTTCATCACATTCGAGCTGCAGAAGACAAGTGCAGGGAGTCTTCAAGGTGCATCAACCTCTTCCCATCCTTCCTGTGGCCCCAGCCTGATCCCAAAACCTGCTGAAATCAATCCCGAGACCTCAACCTTGCCGTGACATTTAGGGTCTTTTTGGATCAGACTGAAAAAAGAGGTATTTGTTATTCTGGACAGTCTTGCTTGGCATTTTTCAGCACCAATGAACTTTAAACACACACAAAAAAATAAAAAATCCTGCTCTTTGAAGTGTGTAGAGAAATGGCTTAATATTTAATGTAGCCAGTAAATCTCTAACAGCCTGGAATATCCATAAAGGTAAGAGCTCCTGGAGCTGTTTGGTTCGTTTGTATCCACCTGGAATGATGAATTTGGTTTTCCCTGGCACGGCCCTGACCGTGTGTAATGGCAAGATGTAAAAAAAACACCAGGATTCTGCTGTTTTTGGTGATTAGCAGCTGATAAAAATCAGGCCTTTGAGTGAGTGAAAAAAAATCCTGCTCTTTGAAGTGTGTAGAGAAATGGCTTAATATTTAATGTAGCCAGTAAATCTCTAACAGCCTGGAATATCCATAAAGGTAAGAGCTCCTGGAGCTGTTTGGTTCCTTTGGATCCATCTGGAATGATGAATTTGGTTTCCCCCGGCACACCCCTGACCGTGTGTAATGGCAAGATGTAAAAAAACCACCAGGATTCTGCTGTTTTTGGTGATAGCAGCTGATAAAAATCAGGCTTTTAACTGAGTGAGCGAGGCAGGTTTTGCTCTGCCCACGTCACGGCGCGATGCAGGACCCACGGGCTTCTGGGTGGGTTTAAGACGATGCTGAGCTCTGTTTGGGTGGAAAAATCCCACCCCACAGTGGAGCAGAATTTCCTGTGATGATCCTAAAGCCAGGGGCCATGCCAGTGCCACACTCCTCTGGAGTTAAACGGCCTTTACAGCAGGGTTAGAGCTTATTTGGGGGGTTATTTAGGGATTTTTTTTTTGCGAGTGCGCAAAATTCATGCATAATTTGGGGGGCTGCGAGAGGGGCCTGACAGCTTCCAGAAGGGGGAGAAAAGGGGCTTGGTAGTATATTAAGATTTTTCCAAACATGCCTGCAAAGACCTGTTTTTTTTGCCAGTCTTCCCCTGTCTTGTTTTCTCCATCTGTGGAGGCAATTATTCCCCACCAGGGAGGGAAAAGGAATTAATGCTGGAAGGCGCTAACGGTTCAGGGTGATGGGAGTTGTATCAGCCCCCGGGGCGGGCGAGGAAGTGGCTTTATTCCTCTAAAAAAATCCTGAATCCTTCCATAAATCCGGCCCTGGCCTCCATATAGCAAACAGCAATTCTGCAACCCGGTAAATGCAAAGGGCTGCTTTATGATTTTTCACATTTTCTCCCTTTTCATGATTTTAGCAAACCGTGAAATAGCTGTTTCACTGAATTTCACTGAAATTTTCCTCCTCATGCCCCTGCTAACGAGCTCAGATTGTGTGTGAGCCGAAGCTTTTCCGAGGAAGCAAGTGAAAATGTTTTCAAATCTCTTCTCTCCAGCTCTCCTGGCCCTGGCAAACACCTTGAAAACCTAAAAAGGAACGTGTGTTATTTTTAAGGTGTTTTTATGATTTCCAAAGGCTTCTGGGCAGTAGCAGAAGGGCCCTTCCACCTGGGTCGGGAAGGACAAGCGTTGTGCTCCCTCCAAAAACGAGATGTAATGGCAGGGCTCCAGCACTGTCTTTTATTTATCCTTCTTTTTAAATCTGCCCCTCAGGCAACCAAACCATGCAGAGGAACAAGCCTGGCTGTTGTTATCGCAGATGATCAGGTACAAAAGCAGATCATCAGGTACAAAAGGAGGTCAGGAAAGGAACGTGCAGGCGAAATTACCCCGGGGAAGAGCCCCTTGGTGTCTTTTCTTGCTGGTTTTTGCTGTCACTTAATTGCCTCAAGGTAGGAGCGAGGGGTCAGGACACCTTTGCTTCCTCTGCAAAATGCTTGGAAGAGCTCAGCAGCGCTAGACCGTGCGTGTATGAACCCCCCCTGTGTGTCACCTTCCTGGCAGACGTCTGTCTCCTCACGTGGAGAGCCGGTGTGGGCGCCTGGTCGCCCTGGGGAGGAAGCCCAGGAGCTGGGCTTGGTGCCACATGGTGTTGAAGGCAGCTTGGAGAGGAGCCCGGCAGCTGGCGCACGGCTTCGGGGCTGTCCTGTTAACACCACCTCTTCCTCTCGTCACCTCTTCCATCCTCTGCTTGCTGGTGGCCCTTACAGACACTCCTGGTTGGGCAGGCACGGAGGAGAAGACCTACCGCCTTCATCTTGTAGGCTGAGATACAGTCAGGGTGAGGAGAAGCATCTAGAAATAGGCTGCCCAGGGAAGTGGTTGAGGCACCATCCCTGGAGGTTTTCAAAAGATGGGTTGACATGGTCCTCAGGAATATGGTTTAGGGATTTTTTTTATTGCTTATTTCTTATTTATTTTTTTGTCAGAGTTAGGTTGATGGTTGGACTAGATGATCTTTAAGGTCCCTTCCAACCTGGACGATTCTATGATTCTATGAAATAGGTAGGAAATAGTGTTGTGATGCTGTCAGAGCTTGTTGGGAGACTTTACAGGAAGGGAGGGTGTTTTGGTTGCTTGCCCAGGTGGTCTAGCCAGGACTTGGTTGAGGACTTCAGCTGTTGGATCCTTATCACATCTCACAGGCTTTCCATAGGCTGGTGACCATGTATCAGTTTTGGATGTGCCCTTTTGTACGTCTTGGGTTGGCAACTTTCACTCTATCCTGTCCCCATCCTCTGTGAGTGACAGGGATTCACTCTCTGCCTGTTGTCTCTCAACACTGGTGTCCAACTAGCTGCTGGTAGACACGAGCCAAGAGCTTGAGGACCTGCTGACCTGGTGCATCACCATCAGCTGTTTCGCTGTTTCTTCTCCTGTCTTCTGCTGCTTTCACAGCCAGACCTTCCTGCTCATCCTCCATCTAGGCCAGTCTTGATATTCCTCTGGTGGGTACGTCCATATGGACGTCACTCCAGTCCTCCAAGCCAACCTGCAGCTGCCAACGAGGCTGTTTGTCCCATTGCAAGCTGGTTGTGTGTCACTGAGTTGTCCATCAGAGATTCGTGGTGGTGGCTCATGCAGATAGACAGTTGCCTGATGCTCACAGATGGTGAAGAGGAGGTAGAAACCTTGTGCCTGCTGCTTGGCCACCAGGAACAAGCGTCCCAGAAGGGCCCGATGCTGCCACCCACTCGCAGGTGTTTCTGTCCATCACCTGGTGCAGATTTGTCCCTGTTCCTGGACAATTAATGTCACCGCCTCGCCGCCCGGCTTGCTGCTGGTGTTGCTGTCTCCTCAGGTGCTCTCCCACCACTCTGCACCACCAGGCCTTCACCAACACCCTGTAAACGAAGACTTTAATTACTTTTTTTCTTACCTGGGTGTGAACAAGCTTGGTGCAAGATGTGGAACCCAGACGTGCCCGTATGAAGCAGGGAACATAAGGTCTACCTCCAGGGATGGAGCACCCACAGCTTCTCTGGGCAACCTGGGCCAGGCTCTCACCACCCTCAAAGTAAAACATTTCTTCCCCACATCTCAGCTCCATCTCCCCTCTTTCAGGGTCAAACCCTTCTCCCTCCTCCTGTGGCTCCTCTCCCTCATCAAGAGTCCCTCCCCATCTCTCCTGGAGCCCCTTGAGGGACTGGAAGGGTCTCCAAGGTCTCCCTGGAGCCTTCTCTTCTCCAGGCTGAACCCCCCCAACTCTCTCAGCCCCCCCTCCCAGCAGAGGGGCTCCAGCCCTCCCAGCATCTCCATGGCCTCCTCTGGCCCCACACCAACAGATCCATGTCCTTCTGATGTTGGTGGCCCCAGAGCTGGAGGCAGCACTGGGGTGGGGGGGTCTCCCCAGAGCAGAGCAGAGGGGCAGAACCCCCCCTTGGCCCTGCTGGCCACACTGCTGGGGATGCAGCCCAGGGTGCGGGGAACTTTCTGGGCCACCAGCACATGTTGGTGGCTCATGTTGCCACCAGGGAAGTTGTGGATGCCCCATCCCTGGAAGTGTTCAAGGCCAGGCTGGATGTGGCCTTGAGCAACCTGCTCTAGTGGGAGGTGTCCCTGCCCATGGCAGGGGGGTTGGAACAAGATGATCTTTGAGGTCCCTTCCAACCCAAACCATTCTATGATTTTATGTTGAGCTTCTCCTCCACCAACACCCCCAAGACCTTCTCCTCAGGGCTGCTCTCCAGCCATTCTGGATTTTAGGAAGGTGATGGAGCTTCGCCGGGTTCTCCATCACCCCCTCCATGGTTGCCCTCCACCTTGATGCGTCCTGACGGAGACGGGGGGGACGCAGCCCGATGATCAAATTAAGATGTCTTAACCCCGCGGGTGTCTAATCCACCCTGGTGGCCCCTAAGCAGCTTTGCTGTTGCGTACGTGCTCCTCTTCCTCGGGAGGCAGATCCACGGGGCCTTAAAAAAACCAGCAGGGAAATTCCTCCCTCGCTTCAAGGGAAAGGGTGGGCGGCGGAGACTGGGTAGCGGCGAGGTTTAAAATAAAAAAAAAAACAAAAAAAAGCATAAAAAAGCTCAAATCTCCTCGAAAAGGGCAGCGCTGTGGTTTGGCCGTGGGGGTTTGCTGCCCCCAAAGGAGAGCAAAAAAACCCCTCTTTTTCTTCGCGTGTTTTGGGGTGAAAAAAGGGGGAAACGGGAGAAGCACCACCTGGGAGAAGTGAAACCTGCGCCTGGGAAGTAGAAATGACACCGCGATCGGGCTCGTTTGCTTGCGCTAATTAACGAAGCGCTGCCCTTCGAAGTGGGAAAGCACTTTTTGGGGTGGGGGGCGATGCCTGGGTCCTCCTGCCTGGGCACCACGTGGGGCACCCATGGGTGCTCTGCTTCCCATCCTGTGGTCCCTTGCACGTGGATGCACGAGCACTTTGCACACGCGTGTGCCCGTTGCACGGGGGTGCAACTTCCCTTTACACACCCACGCAGGCTTTGCACACCCGTGTGGGCTTGGGGAGGGGGCGTGGGTGTCCTGAGGGGACACCGTGGCCAGGGGGGACATGGGGAGAGGGCACAGGGACATGGGTGCCGTAGGGGGACACTATGCTCAGGGGTGGCATGGGGAAGGAGAATGGGTGCCAAGGGGGACACCATGGCCAGAGGTGGCATGAGGTGGAATGGGGGAACACCATGGCCAAGGGTGGCATGGGGAGGGGACATGGGTGGCGTGGGGGACATAATTGGCATGAGGTGGCATGGGGAGGGGACATGGGTGCCGCTGGGGAACACTGTGGCA